TTTAGCAATGCTAGCTTTTACAATACCCAGAATATAACTGAAATATTACACAGGATGAACTGTAACTCTTTCCTTTCAGACTGAGAAAGGGATCAAATATGAGCCATAGCCAGCCATGTTTAATCAGAAGGCGCTGTTTAAGTAGCAGCACTCAAAAGAAGTGGTACTTGCCAGACATCGGGATTGCGAAGAGCCAGGCGCATGATGTACAGGGCTGCCCCAGTTCCTCCAGCTCCGATAAATATGAAGAGGGGAATCAACTGTTGGGGGAGAAAAAGAATATTCCACCATAAAACCACTCACTCTAAAAACTAGGAATGTCTCTTTGGCTGTACAGCTGGGCCTCCACATTTGCAGCTTTGCCTCTTGTCAATTTGATTATCCACCGACTTGATTAATATGTCCTCTCTGCTAGGTCCTCCAATGTAACTGTTCTCACCTTCTGCCAAAAGTCACACTGGAAGACCTAGAGATTCCAAGAGAGGACACTTCCCTAGGCATTTGTAAGTCCTCCAGTGCAATTTCATAGCCAACTTCTGGCAGATCTTGACTATCGAACTGTCCTGGAAAACCTAGTAGATTACTAGAGAGAACACTTCCCTAGGCATTTGTAGGTCCTCCAGTGCAATTTCATGGTCAACGTCTGGTAGATCTTGACCACAGAATTGCCCTGGAAGACCTAGAAGATTCCTAGAGAGAATATTTCTCTATGCATTTGTAGGTCCTCCAGTGCAATTTTATGGTTAACTTCTGGCAGATCATGACCACAGAACTGCCCTGGAAGACCTAGCAGATTCATAGAGAGAACACTTCCCTAGGCATTTGTAGGTCCTCCAGTGCAATTTCAAGGTCAACATCTAGCGGATCTTGACCACAGAACTGCCCTGGAAGACCTAGAAGATTCCTAGAGAGCTGTTCTCTCAGGTGAAGAAAATAGTGTTTGTTTATTTGTTGTTTTCCCACTTTCACAGAGGTCCTGTGCCCCTAACCCCAGCAAATGTGGAGGGCCGACTGAATTTGTACCCCAGATTCAGAGGAAGAGAGAGAGAAAGGCTTGCTCACAGAAGTGTGTGTGCTACCTGATTTCATTTTGAAAAGGGGCTTCTAGATATTTAAAGGGACAAAGCAAGACACATACAGAGATGAGTAAAAACCACGGCCTGTGGGCTTCCCATAGGCATCTGGCAGCAAAGGTAACACTGTCCTGCCAAGGCAAGGAAACCAGTAAAAATACTCTTTCTGTGGGACTTAAGAGACCAGTTAGAGAGTAAGGAGAAAGGCCAACACATAATGAAGGGAAAGGAGTTTC